CCTATTTCATTTACGGTGATGAAGGACTGGTAGTTGAATTTTTCCGCAATGATACAAATAGAGCATATAAAAAACACCGATCACTACTCTTATTAGGTTACACCGCTAAGCAACTCGCATAATAAACTCTAATGCCTCAGTGCTAATTACTTTGGAAACTCATTTTCCCTGCACATAAGTGCAGGCAAACTTAGATGGAAAAGATGAATTTTGATAGTTTCCATCCCATAAATAAGGAATGTGCCTGAGCCAGTAAGTTGTTTTTATCGCATTTTATCCTTTCTTCATATGGCCGAATTGAACTTAATACTAGCGCTATTTATCAGGTAAATCTTGCCAGATAAAAAAAATTAAAAACAGTCTGTTGGTGTGTCCAATTTTACTGCTGTATCGCCTCTAAATGTTCAAAAATTTTCACGTCCTAGGCGTTTATAAACACTTGAAAGAATTTTGCTTAAGCCTTTCATTAATTTTTATTAATTGTGATTAAATTTTAGCATAAAATGCTTTCTAAACCTGACTTGACCACTTAGGCAGCTTAGTTATGCTAAATGTACTAAAATAGTTTAACTCCAATAGGATAATTTCCTCTATTGACTTATGTCATAATTACTTCTTGCTAGGACCTAGCAACCGGCAAAGATGCAAACGTTACGCCCAATTGTCCTCACAACAGGCTACCTGCAACCTTTGGCGGTTTCATTCGTGGAGTCTCGAGTACACACGCCCTCTCCACCAGATCGCATTCGATACTGCTTGATCGAGTCAACCCGGAGCCCAAAGAGTCTTTTTCGAGGGTCAGTAGCGTGAAATCGGCAATGGCAGTTGCCCCAAATCAGGACATTTCGCCATCTCATCTTCCGAAGGTGTGCCGGGTACTGCTGAGTTCAGGACGTGAGTTTCTGAGCCAATGTTACGAAGAGCCAAATAAAGGCTTGAATTCGAGCAAAATTCGTCGGAAAAGAAGGGAAGTATTGGAACGGAAGAGAGGGGATGTGACAGAGCAGACTTTAAGGAGGAAAGTCACGGGGGAGTCTGTCCAAACTCACCTCGTCCCCAACCAAAAGAATTTGACTATACGAGCCACCGTTGCAAGTGGTAAAGCAGCAAAAATGGTAAGTTCATTGTGAGATACATTGGCAAAGACTAAGCTGACCCGAAATCTTAAAACTTATAAAATATATAACTACGGGGCAATATTATCAGTCGATGAATTTATCCCGATATTAGTTTGATTTATTTCTGATAAATATGCATTCAAATTTCCTCCGAATCAGAAAGGATTAGGCTTTCGAAAGAGTACTGTGTTAAATAATATCTTCTATCTAACATGCCCAAAATATTAACGAAACCCACGTAGATTAGAAACCGGATCATGAGTTCAAACTGTCGATGTCCACACAATAACAAATGCCCATGGACCACAGGGCAGATAGAACTTTTAAGGAAACCAAGGCCTCTCTCATCTTGCACTTAATGGTAGGATTGCTGATGAAAGCATACATGAATTTATTTTGAGCCTATAAGTAAATCTTGATTAAAGAATGATAATTTATAGCCAAAGTATGAATCAATATCACAATCAGACAAATATGTGAATATTTCTGTAAATCAAATGATAAAGCAGCGACCAAATTAATTTTCGACCACATTTATCTGGTATATTTTTGAAGTTAAAACTAATAAATGTATCTAAAGATTCTTAACAAAGCCCATATGACCTCACACATTTTAAAATATCTTTTAATTGAGCATAGTTTTATCGTCTCACGCGTTCTCTAGTCAGTCTAATTAATTCACTTTATTTAGAAGTTTAGCTGAATGTATTGATGATATAGTAACGGAATTCATCAATATATTGCTGCTACCTGTTAGGCTTGCTTGAGATATATTGGTTCTCAATGAGAAGAGCATTTAATGCTTGAAAGTTTTTCGGGGATAATTATTTAAGTCCAGGCTTAGATTCCAACTTAACACCATCTTATATAAATATGAAATCGGCATGACTTTAGAAGACTTAGATAAAATAAAATAAGAATTCAAAAAGTTCTGTAACATGTCTCTATATAAACCAATAATTATATATATATATATTTTTTTAATTATTTATATTGACATGCATCACTTGCGTAGACGCTTTGGATAAGGATTGACACTTTTTAAACTCGTATACTTTCTTAGCTTGTCGTCAAGAGCAGCAGTGAATATCTTATTGTCTTTTCGCAGAAATCTGGATTAACATACTTTTAAATTTGGTCACCTACACCTTCTTGCTCGAAACCTTGATCCGAAATTGTCAGCTCGAGATTCAAATGCTAAATAATATCAACTCTAGATCACTTAAAGTGATTTAAACTCTTTCAGTTAAATTAAGTTGCTAGGGTGACTTGATTCGCAATAAATATTTACTGAAAGTCTCGAAACGGATTCCCATCAAAGGTAAGTAATATTATGCAAAAAAAAATGTCGCGGCATAGACCTTAGGGTAATCTAATTAGCACCGAACATACAATAAACCTGGAATCTCCAGAGGAATTCTGCCAGATTTGCTCTAGTGAAGTGCTCAACCACGATGGCAAATATATTTATACTTACGGAGCTTTCTAAGAAAGTCAAACGCCATTTAAAAATTTTCGATCAACTATCATTAAATTCACTAAACTTTGTTAAGGCTACAACGTAATAGTTAAGCCGGCACCCACATTGAGTCCACTCGGCGAGATGAGGCAAGGAAAAATGCAAGGAATTTGAAAGCCCCTTCGAAATGGAATGAATATATTCACTCTTATAAAGCATTCTAGAAAGAAGAGCAGAAAAAGTGAGTTGCTTTCATTTTGGGTAGAAGTTTTGATCCTTTAGATGCTTGTTGCGTATCTGCGATGCTCAAAAGGCATGTGAGATGAAAGAACCCTGACCAGAAAAGAGACGAATCACTCCTTCTCATCTTGAAGAAGAAGTCCACAGAACCTTGTGCCGAGAACTTCTCCAAATTCAGTAAATGAGTAAATAATGAAAAATCTAGTGACATTAAAGTTGCTTCAATTTACCCTGAGCAGACCTGCCAGCAACCCAGTATGTGAACAGTCGAAACCATCATCTTTTCATAAAAGTCATTTTCGTAAGATCTGTAAAAAAACCTCTCACTCCGTACTTCATACATGCAAAAAAGGACAGTTGGTGCCTTTTTAATCAAGTTTGCTTTTCCTTTATCAAATAACTGCGAATTTTATGCGCATTATCGCGCGTTATTGCAAGTATGAATTCTTTCGAGAGATATTTGAGGTAAAATCAGATTCCAGACTAATCAAGCCTCCTTATACTACTCCCTAATTCTATTCATAAACCTCAGATTGACCCATTTAGTTGATAGATAACATTTTGGCTAACAACGGTCCGTAGATATTTTCATATAATTTACCGCTTTAGGTAAATATCGTGATTGACCATTTGCAAAAATGTTGACTAATTTTTTATCAATAACTGGATACATCCCATTTTTAGAGATTTGACTTAGTTACAACAATTCGCAATATTTACTTCATTTTACAAAATTTACTATTCACAACATTATCTATGAATTGCTGGCAGGTCATAGGAATTCGGATGCCCCGCATATCAATGAGGAAGTGATTCCATTTTAAAACATTAATCCTGGATTCTCAAGCACCTTTGCAGGGCACACCTGAACCTTGCCTTAAAGTGTCTATGGAAGCTCATCTAAATCTTGGAATATAAAAAATAAATTACTGTGTCCATAATCATCCGATTTTATTTGCTCAGCCTTATCATATATTAATATTTATTTTTAATATTTATTACCACTAGTTCTAGATAGCGCATAGTTAAAAGCATTTTGCATAGACCCAGCAATAGTAGCGTCCATTTTTAGATCTTTGGTGTTTTTCTTTTCTTTGTCCTAGTTACTTAATGTGTAATTACTTTTCTAATAACGTTTAACTTTCACCCACTTAGAAGCCATTACATACAAAGTATTGGCCATTGTTTCGCGCTATAGGATGTTCTCCGAACAGAGTATTGGACAGGATTTGTCAAAGTCTAGTTTACTCGTTTGGAAAACTAAATAAAATTCAATAAAATTATGAGGTATGCATATTTAGTAATTAGAAAATAAAACACTTAGGCCAGAAAACGACAAATATGGCTAACTTAGTTTATTGATCTTAGTGAATATACCTCATTTATACTATGAAATTTTGATTTATTACAAACCCCTATTTCATACTATATCATCTTATTGTAAATAGGAAGAGCAAGATGGTGTGGCCTTTTGTTTGGTTGCAGTCTCTTTTAGCTTTATATTGTTGGTTCTATCTTGTTTTCGCAAATTGGTGGGAGCGTCAATGAGACCTTATGGAACGTAGCCAGTCCCTGTCCTCTGGCATAGTATTCGGGATTCCCAGCATCGTTCGCAATTAGGGTTTTAGACCACCATTTAATCAGTTACATGAAACGCATTGACCCCATTACAACGAATAAATGAATAATGCGGTCTATTGTCATAGTAAATAAAATTTTGCTTCAACGGAAATCCCACCAAAGAATATAATATAGGAAACAGTCTGGTCCACCTTGTAATTCACATCCGCCCTGTGACACAATGGCACTCGTGGTAACGTGTCGAGATTATAGGCTGCATTGCTAAGCTCTAGGCGAGAACGAAACTGCAGTCAACCCTGAATGAGAACACCTTTTGGGAAAACAAGACTATGTGAAATTTAATTTTAGATTCAGCTCTACTCATAATATTGTGGGAAAATTCAACTTCTAGTCCCTATCACCTTAATCAAAATAGGTGAATACATCTCATATAAATGATTTACTGGTAGTCTTGAAACCATACTTATAAACGAAAAAAGAATATATTTTATCATGCTTCCTTGCAAAAAGCAAAATAAAGGAAGAGGCCAAAATTATTTAAGTCTTTATATAGTATATCTAGACTTAGGCATGAATTGAACCATATAAGATGTATTCTCCCTGTATTGTTTAAGGTAATGAAGGACTGGTAGTTGAATTTTCCCACAATGATATGATTAGTGCTGACGTTTTCAGTTAATTTCACATAGCCTTGGTTTCCCAAAAGCGGTGACTACATCTCATATAACTGATTTACTGGTGGTCCAGTGACCGTATCATGAACGAAAAATGATTCGAGTGAAATTCTCGCTCCGGAGGATTTCCTGAAGCTACAGAAGACGGCGCACAAACTGTTGTAAAGGATATCTGA